ATAATTCAGGTTAACCACTTAAATAGTTGCACTGCATGGCAGTCTAGCAATTTCAAACGAAAACCCTGAAATTTACGCTTTAATATTAACGCCAGACCGTCAGAATGAAATATCTGGCCGCCGAGATTGGCCAGGTCAACTCGCTCGCTAAAGTGCACTTATCTGCCGGGGGAGAGGCTTATTGTTAGGGGGAACGGGCGAACGGCTTCTACCCCCTCCCCCTAACATCATAAGGACAGGGTCCCAATATTTCCGGTTGAATACCCATGAAATGGGCAGAACAATAGCTAATCTAAAGGGACTACAAAGTGGTCGGCAATATTTATAACCTCCAGAATACCAAATAATCGGCTTTGAATAGCCCCTAAATTTTTATTTCTAAATTTAAAGTGTTTCCAAGTTAAACTTGCCAGCCAGTATCATAAATAATCGGGAAAACTACGAAATACACCGCATTAAAAATTTTTAAGGGTGGAATTTGGCGTATTTTCCAGAACCTAGGAGATAATTAACCAGGGGAGCCTCGATTCTGACTGAACGGCTTGATAATGGGGTGCAAATATGACAAGTCATTCGGTTCACAGTCAGTAAAAACAAATAAATTTCAGTTGTGCCGGAATTTCCCAAAGATTTTTTGGTGCAATTAAAAAAGCGACATTCCAAAAGTATTTCCGCTAGCCGCTAGTTTTATAGTTGTTCCTCTAGAGAAAATTTACATTTCTAAAAAACTTCCTAAACCGGAATCCCTAACGAAAATCTGCTAGTCGACAGTTTTAAGGCGAGGTCCAAAAAAGGCCTTTTTCTCTAGATATCGACAGAATTCTTCAAAAATCACCGCCAGTTGTTGGTGTAATTTCTGAACGAAAAATGAAATGAAAATAAAAGTTTTACTGAAAAGGCCAAAATTCCCAAAGAATCTCGGCTAGCCCTCAAAAATCATTGATGCCCCGTCCCGATGTCGTGACTACAATAAAATGATGCTCCCCGTCGATGGCCAGAGGGGGAGAGCATAGAAATTCAGAATGTGTGTGGAAGAGGGCATCCATGCATATTCTCTCTCTCAAATAGAAGAGATAGACAGACGATGTCCCTTTTCGAGGGGCTATGGACTGGCCATCGGCCCTCTTCTTCTTTCAAAAAAGAAGGAAAAAAGATTTTTTGATTTCTAGAGAGAGTGGGGAAGAGATAAGTGGCCGCCATTCCATAGCCATAGCCGGCCCTTCCTCTTTTGACCTCTTCCTCCTCTACTACTTCCTCTCACTTCAAAAGATGACTACGAACGCCCCAATCGAACAGCTCCAAAAACACCGGAAGTGCGTTGCAACAAGGAAAATTTTAAAACTGGTTAAAAAGATTGCCAGCTGACCGACTGGTGAAGAGAATCTTTAGCTTTCGTAATTGGAATTCCTTACAAACTATTAGGTTGGACCGAAAGTAACTGCAGTTTTTCGGCGACCAAAATTTTATGGAAGCATCCATCCATTCATTTCAAGATTTTGCGATGCTAGAGGGTCAAGTGTTGTCTTGTTTCAGTAAAAGTTTCAAGCCGAACCTTCCACAAGTTTTTTAATTCTCGGGCAAAGAATGCGTGCGACTCGATTTTAGAGTTTTTGAGTTCTACGAACGGTATCTCTGTCCATACAAGCTCTAGCGCTCCAAATAATTGACAGTGGATAGACAAGTCTTGTGGCTATACAGCGCATTATATAAAATGTTAATGCCTAGCAGCATAATTTTTTCCCAAGTTATTTTCGAAAGATGTTAAATTCGGTTTTTGAGCTCGGAATCGACAAATTCATTTGTCGGTCGTTTTCTTCGAATGTAGTGGACAACTTATTGAATGAAATATATCAAAATGAAGCTTAGCTATAGCTGCTTTACGTACGCAGAATACTTAGGAACAATTGTTCCATGCTGGTCTAGAAAGAAAAAAGAAAGGCTCCAAAAACACGTCTCTCTTCAAAATCGTCCCCAGAAAAATCTTGACAAGCTGCCAGTTTGGCTAGCCTCGAGTTTTCAACCTTCTAAACTACCAAAAACGTTATTCTGACGTCAAATTAGCCCTACTGTGAGCTAAGATACGGAAAAAAGTGCAAAAAAGGTAAAAACAGGGGCGAAAGCGTTCGCGTTCAGTGAAAAGGATATGTGAGAGGGGGGTGATCCCCTTTGAAGCAACATGTGCCGAGAATGGGCCACTACCCAGAAAACTTTTTGTGTTTCTTTCTACCCGAACCAAGACCCTTTTTAGATGCTTTTAGCCTAGAAAAACAGATGGACAGCGCAAAAACTTCCGCAATGCGTCAAATTACACTGTGTCAAAAAAGTGTTCTCAAGCTTGTTGAGTGTTCAAACTTCAGGGATGCGCTTTGTAGTTTAGAGTTATGCAATTTTTTAGAAACACCTGGATTGGGCTCTCTGACGGACACTCTACCATTAGAGGCCGTCTTCCGAACGCCAGTTTGTAGTTTGCTGTTATGCAGTTTTCGAGGAAATGGCATCAGGCCTTCTGACACACTCACGATCATTCAAAACAATTCTACTGCCTCCAGATTGTAGTTTAAAAATATGCAGTTTTTTACAAACACTGCAATTGGCCATTCTGACACGCCGCCATATTGCGGATCAGTTTTCCGAGCTCTAGGTTGTAGTTCAGAGTTATGCAGTATTTTCAAAGTGTCCAAGTTGCTTTAAATGTCACTTTATGAGTTTCCCAATCAATCGTTGTCGGACAATTCGTACAAATTTATGCCTGAAATGACGCCCGGATGGCGAACATCGAACCTGTGAGTGGAAAGGGGTGAAGGGCGCGCGCGGCGCCTCCAGACTATGCAAAAACAGCTGGCTGTCAGCAATGGGTGGCACACACCAATCTGGAGGAACCCCCCCAGCCCCCAATGAAGAAAGACGCCGATTTCGTTTCGTTTCTCCACCCGCAGGCACTCTGGATGTGATAATGATCTGGCACAGAAGTTTTGTGCAAATGGATAAAATGAGCGGGGGTTGCGGCCTGAGGTTAAAAAACTGCATAACCTGCATAACGTCAAAGTAAAATTAAAAGGTGTAAAATTATTCTGAAATTGTTGGCTGCGTGCCAGAAAAACCCATTCCATCGTTTAGAAAACGGCATATCTCCAAACTACAAAACACTTGGTTGCTGATTGAAACCGATAGATGGAAAGTCAGAAAAACCGAAGGCGCTTTTAGAAAAAACTGCGTAACTTTATATGAGGAAATAAATCTAAGAACTACAGTTATTACATGTTGTTGCTTGTCAAAAATGACAATTCGATCGGTCGCTGAGTTGATCTTTTTGAAGGGCGGAAATCGGAGACGGGCCCACACCTGTTCAGTCATGGGAAAAGAAGAAGCAGTGGGAAAGGGGCAGAAAAAGGCATAAAGGGTACGAAACATTTCAAATCACATTTGTGAGAGCAACAGGCACAAATAAAAATTAAGAAGCATTCGGAAAGCTCTAAAACCTCACCGGGCCCTGAAAGAAGGCTTTACGCAATTAAATTCAAGGATTTTAAGGTATTGCTTGTGTATTTCGACCGTCATACTGTCGAATGATGAATATTTTGTTGCCTACATCTCCTCCATATTTAATTTGCCAACCACTCGAATGTCAAATGGGTGCCTCGAAGTTCTACTGTCCTGCCACCCTTCGAAACGATCCATCGGTTCCATTCCATAGCCCCATCCGTGTATAGATGGCATCTCTCCCTCCCTCTCTCTCTCTCTCTCTCTCTCTCTCTCTCTCTCTTGTCTCAGCTTGTCGAAATCCCCCTCTTCAGAAGAAGTAGATTAGTATCTCTCTAGAAGTGTGTCGAAGAGAGTGTGAAGGTTAGTCTCGGCTCGACGCGGGCCACACTTTCCCTTAAAACTAACATTCCGAATCGGAAGTGTGGCCGGCAAAAACATCGAAAATTGCCGAGAAGCCTTGGCTTTTGGCCGAAAAAGTGAAAAATCGGGGATCTGCGATCATACCGGCAGGATATATTTACGTTGACCATTTTTAATCAAACTAAGATATTTAATTCCGATAGTGAAGTGGGCGGCAGTTAGTACACAGAATTAAAAATAAGCGTGAAGTTTCATAAAGATGTCGAATTCCTAATCTCGTTGCATTAAAAAAATCGATTAAGAACTGCCAGATGCCAATGTCTTGTAAATAAAAAGTAAATTGTCATATTTTGTGTATCTTACGTATTTACACGTGTTCTGTTACGAAATACTCTTATATGGCACCCAAGGAACCTCTTAAACTTACGCAACACGTTATGCAGCTTTTCCAACGGTTATGTAGGTTATGCAGTTTTTGCCAATCCGATCTTCATAAGACCCTCCAAAAGCCGTTAAATTGTCATATTTCCCAAGTTTCATGAATCTACCCCCCCTTCTGTCATAAAATACAGCTTTCTGGCTACGATCCTACCTTTTAAACTTGCGCAACACGTTATGCAGTTTTTCCCGAAGTTATGCAGTTTATGCAGTTTTACGGAATTTCGACCCCGATCCGTCCCCTCTAATGCCCCACCCCTTTCTCTGGTATACAAATAAGCGGCCGGGATTGGTGGAATTCCCTGCAGCTTCTTCCTTTCCCCCTCTTTTTGCTCTTCCATTCGAATGCCACCCCTTCCTCCCCCTTACGAACCGATACTCGATCCACCCCCTAGATACCTCCACCCCCTTCCCCCACCCCGTCATAAGCATTTAGCAGCACAAGCGGCTAGGAGGTGTTCCATTTGTTCCAATATTTGTCAGCTTACAGTCTTACGCTATTTTATTTAGGATAGGCTCGTTTAAAGGGACTGGAAAGTCTGATTTTGTGGGCTGACCGACTAGTAGGTAGTTACTCTAAGTCGCAACTCCCTTAATATTTGATTTTTACAAATTCTAACAATTTTTACGTGTATTTTATCGCCCAGTTAAATTATACTTTCGTTTCTCAACGGTCTACATTTTTCCTGGATTTTTTACACCTCTCATTGTTCCAGGAAATGAACCGAGAAAGAGGACGGCTGCGTGTGGTCGTTGTGGCTGCTATTGTCACGTAGGTTTTTGTATTTTGAAATTTTGTACTTTTTCTATTAAACCGACAGACAGTTTACGATAGTAATAAGTTTAAAACTCGATTTTTCCTAAATTCTCGGTGCTTCATGATTTCTCGAATTTGACCCGGAAATGGCGTTCGTGCATGTTATTCCCCTAAATCCCAGAATGTCCAAAAACACCCTGATCCCAATCAAAAGAGATTTTCCGCAAAAAGCCGTTCGTGTGTGTGCCACCAAGGGAAGGAAGGAAGGTGCCTGCCAGCCGCTTCACCCCCCCCCACAGGCCTCCGAATTTCAGTTTTTGCTCGCCTTTCTCTTCCTCGCTCATCCTCACCTCCCATAGCCGTTCTTTTTTGTGGAATCGAATCTGGCCAGTTGGCACACACTGCCAATCAACAAATACACGAAAAATAACTAGCGCCTTGTATATGGGGGCCAGGCTACAAAATTCAAAAGTTTGGCGAGCATATCCGACTTTTTGGGGAAAACTGCATAACTTAAATGGGGTCTGGCGATGGTTTGGCGATGTGGCAGAGGTCATTTGCGATCCAAAAAGGCTAAAAATACAGTTAAAAGTTACAAATATCGTCTCCAAAATACGGATGACGGATCGGACTTTTTGAAGCAAAAACTGCATAACTGCATAACCGAAAATTAAGTCAAATTAAAATAATGCGACGGGCAATGGGTTATTTGGGATCCAGAACAGCTAAAAATCAAGATAAAAATGACAACTATTGCCTACAGTACCGCAACCATCTCCCTTGATTTCAGCATGGCGATGGCATATCCGCAGATGCAGAATGATATCTACAGAAAACGACTCCCTTCATTCCTCACCGCCAGTCGACCACAAAGGAGGAGGTGTGTTTTATTTATTAATTTTTATATTGATTAATTTTCTATGTCTTATGGATAATTTCGAAGTCCGAAATTTAGATTTTTTTAAATTTTCTTTATTATTGACTGCGTCTAGGCCGGCCTTACGAAAAAATAGAAGTGAATTTTTAGTGCCCATCCGCAAGAGTACGACACTCCCGCCACCACTTGCAACAGTTTCATAAATTTAAAAATTAAGAGAACGACCTTTTCGACTTCGAAACTTTGAAAAAGTCTAAAGTTGTTGACTTTGACCAAAAAGCAAAAAGTTTGGCATGACCGGGGAGTCGAACCAGAGACCCTCCGCCCCAGAGGCATGCTAGTTAGCCACTACACCACTCGACAGGCGGACGCCCATCTTTGGGAGGGGCCATAAGGGAGGGCGGGCATGTCTGCAAAACTTAAAATGCTCATAACTATTTTGTCTTAAGCGTTTAGCAAATTCTGATTGCAGTTTCGGAATCCCCGTCGCCGACTCTATCAGACCCATATTTTTGCTAAGCGGTTTGCTGGGTTTTTTATTTGCACTTCCCTAGTGAGCTCCATTCTATCGTTTTTATCAATCTCACTATGGCAGATCGGACTTTTTGAAGCAAAACTGCATAACCTAAAATCAGATAAAATAAAAATTTTCTAATTTTTATCCGTTATTTTTGTTTTATTCTCAAAATCCTTTGAAACTGCTATTCATTAAAACATTTGCCCCGATCTGCGAACCGTTTCCTTCCCATTCCGCGTTAATTTATGGCATCAAGGGCGAAAGGCGAATTCGAACTTGTTCGCCCTGTCGGCAAAGGGGATCATATCAGTTTTTTTCATGCTTTTCCCCGGGGGCTGGGGAACGGATCATTTAGCGGGCAGGGGAACGCTGAATGTGGCTGCCAATACTGATGATGTACTGTGGGTAGATAGTGTTCAATGGAATGGCACGTAGTCGTTGAAGGGGGTGATCGTAAACCAACACTACGGCGATAATAACTGGCTAGAGATTGGTCATAGGAATACTGTAGGTATACAATCTTTATTTTTGGCGCACTGGCATGCAGGTAAGCTAAAAATTAGCAACAAATATTCGGAAATCGCTTAAATAGTGCATGTAGTTTTTTTCTTGCCGATTTTCGGTGTCTTGAGGCCGAGATGGGTCGCAATTATTCTTTAAGACTATTAACTTTATTTTTGGCCTTACTGGTCTGCAAAGAAGCTAAAATCATCAGAAAAATTTTTAAAATAGGCTTTAATAGGTTATGCAGTTTTTCGGCTTTCTGGCTCCCGGACAAGCCAAAAATCGAAAAATTACGACTTTTCGAAATTTGCTTGAGTTATACAGTTTTATCAATCGAATTCCACTAATTGTCGTATGCCAAACCTTTCATCACTAAAATTTTTGTTCCAGGGCTCCGGAATCGGTTATGCAGTTTTCGGGGGCAAATTAGAAAGTCGTTGATTTCGCTGGTTGGTGCCGGCTGGCCGGGCGATTGGGGTGATCAGCAGAAAAAGAGAGAAGAGAGTGAACGCCCGGATTCGGAAAGGGGAACGGGCAGCTAGCCCGGATATAGCCTGTGGATGCAAAAAGCTTGCCATCCAGTGATGATTGGGGATGATGATCACGAGAGAAAACTGATATCCGTTTGAACCAGCTTTTGGTGAAAGGTTTATCTGGATCTTTCTCTCACCCTCACTCTCTCGCTCTCTCTCTCTCTCTCTCTCTCTCTCTCTCTCTCTCTCTCTCTCTCTCTCTCTCTCTCTCTCTCTCCCTCGCAAACCCAGTGACGCACGACAGCTAACGGGCTCGAAAAGTTTCGAAAATGTACGCTACTATAAAAAGTATTATATTTACAATTTAGTGTGAGTGAATATGGCCCTCCAGCCCATGTTCCAATCTACATCAATCCCTATCCACAAGTCCCAGAAGATTCATCCTCAAAAGAAGATCGAGGCCCCGCCCCTCCTGTTGATGGATATCAGAATTTGATTCTGGGGGATGTAAGTTAATACTGATTCTGAAAAAATATTTGATTGTAGAGGGAACCAGCCCAGCAACAGCGGGATCAACCGCCAGCTAGGGGACCTGCGCCGCCAAAGGTATCGTAATTTTGGCCTTCAGAGGGTTCAAGACTTTTTTTGCAAAGATTACGGTATTCTGGCTGGTAGAAGGGGACTAAATTCAAACTGAAACTTTTTTAAGTGGTGTACGGTATTGACAAGAGCGAAATATAAATTGATTAAATTTCTGGATAGAAACGAATTTTTCGAAAGTGAAAGGCCGTATTCTGGTAGGTAATATCCAAAGATGTCGATATCTCGGGCAAAACAATTTAAACTACCTTCCAGAACGCCCACCCCCAGCAGTCTCGCCTTGACGAAATCGCTCGCCAGGTCCAAAAACTGCTCCAAGACGATCAGGGCAACGTCGACCTCAACAAAGTCCCCAAACCCGTCAACAAACCCGGTAGCAAGGTATGGACAAAACAGCTTTGATTTGTCATTGGTACTTTTTTTTCAAAAACGCGATTTTCCAGGCGCCCGGCTTCTCCCCGAAACGCCGAAATACGATGAGGGAAGCTGAAAACATGTAAGTTCACTAAAAAATAGCTCCCAAATTATGTAATTTTCAGCGTGAAACGTTCTGGCTACGAGGCAGTACCCAAGACACGCACCAATGATGGGCTGACCATTCACTCGTCTGGATATAACTTTGATGGAGAGGATTTGCCACCGGTAAGTGTATCACCTGATTTGATTACGCTACATAAATCAACCATGCTCAATCGAAGGTAAATTTGTCTGGAATTGTAGTTTGTACGTCAGCATAGTTAAAAAATACGATATTTGTGATTTTATATAGTTTGTGGGCTCCAAAAATCGACAAGAGCTACAAAAGGCCTTTATTGGGAAGCCAGTTTAGACAAAAATTCAATGTTTTAAAGTAGCCGGGAGAAGTCATTATTTTTAGTCGAGCTTGTTGCGAAATTATAGTTTGCTGGCCAGAATAGCTATAAATAACGTAGTCACTGAGTCTTTGTAATTTGTAGGCCTTAAAAATCGGTAGAAACTACAAAAACCGATTATTTGTATTATAGTTCAGCTAAAAATCAATTTATATAAAGCTATGTCGCTTGTAGGCTATAATAACCACATTTTAAGACTGAAACTGGCTCGCCCTCATACCCAGCTGATGAGCCCGACCAGTCGAACTATGGAAATAATAACGATGGAGATGATGGAATAGATGAGGGAGAGAATACGAATGAAGGAGGATATCCAAGAATACAAAAGGGATATCGACAAAAGACTACAACCACTACTACCACCACGACGAGGAGACCAACGACAACCACAAGGAGGACAACTACCACACAGAGGACGACTACGAGGAGAGCGACTCCTGCGCCTACTACTACCAAGAGACCGGCACCACAGAGGTAGTATTTGGTTGACCAAAAACTGCATAACCTAGAAATGCGAGCTATACATTTAAATTTTCTAGGATTAGAGCGAATGGGTGCCAGTTGAAAAGTAACTCTCGAGAAAACTGCATAACTTGGATTAGCAACCTATAGGTTTAATTTTGATACTTTTAGTGGGAATGGGTGCCAATTGGAAAAAGTGAAAACTGCATAACTTTATAAAGTTAATCCTAGAGCTCACTTCGTGAATTTTAGCGTAGGTTGACGCCAGTTTAATAATGGGCCTCGCAAAAACTGCATAACTGAAGACACGTTTTAAAAATTTGATTTTAACATTTTCGGGGCACTGGAGGCCAGTTAGGGGATATCGATCGAAGAAAACAGCATAACCTATTTAGAGACATTAACAACATGAGTTTAATATTTTTGGTTCCCCAGCTGCCAGTACGAAAATTTCGATGATAAAAACTGCACAACCTAACCGATAATAGTACAAACTCGATTATTGTCTCAACCAACCAATTGGTCACCAGAAAAAGCCAAAACCTCGGAAAAACTTGGAAAACACGCGAATATTCTGAATTTTAGGGCGACGACTACACAGGGCTACGATGCCCCTCCAGTAGCCCATCCACCAACCACCACTCAACCTCCAATTGATGAGGGATACGGTAATGCCGTGACAACAACTGCTGCCGGATATGAGGCAAATCCTCCTGCTGCACGACCAAAGAATGATGATGGATATGGAGGAGAGACTGTCACTGATGGACCATCTGAGAGTTATGATGAAGTGACTGAAGCTGCTGCTTCTGCTCCTTATGGAGGAAATAACATTCAACCAGGTAACTTTAACGCTATAGCTCTTTAATGGGATACAGTTAGGAAAGAATCCTACTTTAGACGATGCTAAAATTCTTAATAGCTGTCAGATAAGATTTTTAACGCTTTCTATAACTATCCTGACAAGCAAAAAATGTAAAAATAAAAAAAATAACATTTTTGATGCGTTTTTCAGAGCCCCAGCCACCTGTTGACCAACAATACGAAGAAACGCACAAAGTAGACCCGTATGCAGCATTGGCAGAACATTCGGGTGGTACTCGACCTCCATTGGGAGCTCATGATCTGCTGTCATTGGATGCAAAGGCTTATGTTGAAGAACATAAGAGAATGCAGAGGGCCATGGCCAAGAAGATCTATTCTGAGATGAGGAGACAACTCAAGAGAGAGGTATCTAGAAAAACTGCATAACTTTAAATTTGGATTTTTGAGGAATTTTCGTTCGGATTTTGATAGATTGCCATCCAGTTTGACCGTTGCAACCTAAAAGTCGGCTTGTCAAGAGCACAAACGACAAAAAGTCCATTGTCTCTAAAAACTGCATAACCTGATATTTGTATTTTTAAACGATTTTTGTTCGAATTTTGTTAGTTTGCCATCCAATTTGCCCAAAACTAAAAAAAATATTTGTTTTGAAATAGTACAAACTCCAAAAATCTGACCTCCCCATTGCAGCTTGGTTTCGGCGAGTCTCTATCGGCTTCTTCCGACTCGGAGCACGAAAATGAGGAAAAGGACGCAAGCGCGGAAAAGCTGAAGGGGGCCGAACTCCCAGCATTGGTCCGTTTTATAATCTGCCAGGCAACCATGCCAAAAATCCAAAAATTGTGTGGAAAAATACGAATCTCGAAAATTTAGGCCGGCTACCAGGGGCCTGAGCCAAGCGGATATGACAGTGTTCCCCGGCACCTGAACCAACTACCGTACACCCGGATAGTGGATATGGTGGAGAGGAGACTACGGTAGCTGAGACGACCATCGCCCCAGTCACCCTGCCCGCACACATCCGGACCATTGTCGCCAATTTTGCCAAGCAGATGGAGAAACAGGTGAATCGATTACGGCATTAAATTCTAGCTGAGGAACTGTAGGGTATTCGAATAGTTAGAAAAGTATATTGGATGGTAGTTTACCAAAATCAAGGGTTTATTTAATGTTTGGATGTATATGAATCGATTTACAGGAAATTTTAGGCCAAGAAAACTCGAGCTGAGGCTTCCGGTCAGGCTACCACTCCCAAGGAGTTCAGCTTTGATGGATCGGCTGATCGCGTGCGTTCCATCTTAAATTGCTTAAATTTATATTTAATTTTTATAAAATTTCAACCAACTTTTCCATTAAAAAATTGAATTTCAATTTTTGCAAATCTTTGGTATATTTTAAGCTCAAAAATTCCTAAAAATTACAAAATCCGTTTTTTTTGATCCCTTAAGCTATTTAATTTATTAACTGACTTACTATTAACAAAATCAAAGAAAAAAATTAAATTTCAATGAAAAAAATGGACCTTTAGACAACCCCGGCAACCCCCTCTGATGGCTACGATACCGTAACCCAAGGATATGAAGAACCAGTAAGAGAAGCCAGTCCCCAACCACCAGTAGATGAAGGATATGGAGGAGAAGAGACGACAGAAGCCCCTGAACCACAAACTACAACAGCAGCCCCTTATGAAGAAGTGACTGAAGTACAAACTACACCTATGCCCCATAACCCATATGACGCAAATGAATATGGAGGAGAGAAGAAGAAGACTGAAGAGAACGAAGAGAACACTACAGACTACAATCAAGCTGGACCCCCTGGACAACAACCACCAACTGGAGAAGAGGAAGAAGGAGGAGAAGGAGCTGCAACGACCCCGAGCAGTTCGGTGGATGAGGGAGAGGGAGGGGAGAAGGAGAAGCCTGAGGAGACTGAGGAGAAGGGAGACAATAATAATGGAGGAGATGGCACTCATGAACAGAAGATTACTTATAATGAGACCGAGGAGAAGCCGAGGAATGGAGGAGGAGCACAAGGAGCCTATGGAGGTGAGCAGCAACTTTTTTGCAAAATTTCGATCAGAAACTTGTTGCTGTCTGACAGTCGAAAAGTTAATCGGCTTAGAAAATTAATCGGGTTAATTTCCTAGCGTAGTCAATTCCTTTTCTAGCAACTGGAGCTTTTTAGGTGTCTTGACCTGTATTTAAACGTTTTGAAAACGTTTCTAGGGTTAAAAAACCCACAGGTAAAACTATCAGATTTTCAACGGATCAAAACATTTTCTGCTCTCCAAAAACCTGATTTTTCAGGTTACTCGGCCTCCCACGGCGCTCCGGTAGCTCATGCTCCCCAGGGCACAGTCAGCCGTCAACTCGTTGTCCGCCAACGATCCCTCTCTGGTGGCCATCAGAAACAGAGGGTATTCATCGATTATGGAGACAATGGAAGGCCGCAAATTTATGCCAAACAGGATCAGTCACCCACCAGCATTCAGGGTATGTCATTTGGAGCGTGCGGTAGTCTATAATTGTGTACTGGCTTTCAAACTACGACTTGCCGGTCAGAAAAACATCTGGAAATAGCAGTGATTTGACATTACCAATTTTCCCCGAAAATCCATGTTTTGAAAAAACTGCATAACCTGCATAACGCTCCGTAAGTCCATTCTATAGCTTTTAATTAGTGCATTACCGTCCTTCGATGTCAGATAGTAAAATACAAATCAAAATTTTATTTTATAACGCATCCCAAATACCGTAACCCTGTATTTTTCAGATAAAGCCTCCGGAGAGCAAGAAGAAGAGGAATACCCGAAGAGACGAGGCGCCCGTTTCGTCCCATTCCATCAGGTTCGACATCTCTTCATCTAAATAATCAAAAATTATAACTTATTATTTATTATTTACTATTTATTGCTAACTTATTTGACTGCCCTCCCGCAAATTGCTCAATCGAATCCCCGGTGGATAAGCTCAATTTCTCCAGCCGTCCCGCCCCGTTTTACCACCTGCAATACTGTTGTTTTTTGTAAATAAATTATTTGATATATTTATTGGCTTTTCTGACATGCAAGGAATTAAACTGGACGCTTACAATAGACAAATAACCGAATTTTAGAAAAATCAAGCCAATTTTGAGCAAAAACTGCATAGCGTATTTTCGTACTGTGGGTCTCGGTATTTGTCATTTTACGCATTTTTGGATACCAAATAAAACGATTCCGCCGCAGAAATATCCTAGAACACCGAAGATCGCGACTTTTCAAAATTCCGGCCATTTTCAGCAAAAACTGCATAACCTGCATAACTAAATTTGGCCTTCTAGAAATGTGTATTTATCATTTTTAGCTTTATTGGATACCAGATAGGCTATGTAATTAAAGATCGGCTGGAATCCAAAGGACAACCGCGTGCCCCTCATAAAAGTTGCAAAAGGCAGCCCACTTCCAGGGCAAATTCCACTCCCCTGCCAGACAGAGTGGACAAGGGAAAGAACGGGGAAATGGAGAGATATAGAGACAAAGAGAGGCCAGGTAAATGTGTGATTTCTTATCATTTGACCCGCATCCCTTTCGAGACGAGTTGACAATGAGAGCGACCGTCATAACCCCCGGTTTTGCTGCCTACCCCCGTCTTTTTTTGGGAGGTGTGTAGCCTGGAATTTGCCCCTTCCCCATTTCGTCACCCGTCTTTTCTGATTTCTAAAAAGTTAAATGGCTGCCAGATCGCAATTTCTACTACAAATGGCTTCAAAAATAGCCACGGTATCGCGGGAAAAGCTCCCAAAATCCGGCCATGTCGCGCTGAAGTTGGCGTTTGAGGATGGAGGTTAGTAAAATTTTTTTAAAGTTAAAATTTTTAATACAACTCTCAAAACAAATGACGAGTGAGTCAGTCAAGATCTATCTCTTGTAGCTTCAAAAATACATACTTATATATTTTTGCGATTTCAAATTAAATTTTGCATTTGAGGATAGAGCTCAGCAAGAAAAAATTTCTAAAACACTAATTTCTTCTAAAATACTGAAATGATTGAATATCACTGTTTTTAAGAGATATAATGACAGTCAGTTAAACTATATCAAATGCCAAAAAAGCAAAAATCGTGATTTTTACTTCCTTGCGACTTTAGAAAAACTGCGGGTACCCCTGGTCTGGCTCCGAGATCATTGCCGGAGTACAGCCTCGTACAACCATCAGACAGAACAAAGGAAAATGGATTGTTGCGGGCTGACAAGCAGAGCAGTCGTACGGTAAGATATAAGTAATCGTAAGCAATTTTTGAGGCGAGATTGCTTTAAAAATATGACCATTTCAGAGAAGACGATCAATCTATTCGAATTAATGACGATGGTGTATTAGAAATCGATTGGTTAGATGGGTTTCAATCTAGCTTTACTGCCGAACAGGTAAGCCAAAAATGCAGCCATAACCCCTAGAATACAGAATACAAACTACACACCATGAAATACATCTATTTTCAGCTAAAATCCTGGGGCCAGCTGTCGAGACCCGTCAAATCCAGGGATCTACACGAATTATGGACTGGTACCTCTTTAAAAGCCATGCCTCGTATCCCATTGTAACTTTAATCTTAGCCTTTAAAATATAATGTTCAGGGATCAGCTGACCGTTCACGAATTTACACGACTTTTTATACGATACGGGTTTGTGCTTGTAGATGGGGTGGCTGGGACCGCCGAGGTAAGGAGAGGGTTTTGTAGTTTGTAGTTTTGTGGCAGGATCATTTGTATTTTGTAGTCTGTCTATCCGTTTGACGTTTTGACCAATTTTCAAGAAATCTTCTCGCGATTTTTGATTTTTATATGATGCATACCGAATCCGGCCAATTTTGCCGATTTTAGTCTGCAGTTTTGTAGTCTGACTGTCTATTCGTTTGCTTTTAGATTTTTTGGCCTTTCTGCCTGCCAGTTAATCCAACTTCAAACCTAATCTATCTCAATTCCAGGCCACCGAAAAGCTCTGCCGTGAATTGGGAGTGATCCACGACACGTTTTTTGGTGCTTTCTGGGTGTTCAGCAATAAGAGTCACGAGAGGACGGATACGGTATGTCGAATCAATATCCTATCGGTCAATCAGCAATAAATCGTAGGAAGAATTCCACGAGGATACTGCCTACAGTTCCGAAGGGATTGGCCCGCACACTGATGGAACATATTTTCATCAAACGCCCGGGATCCAGGTTTGTAGTTTGTATTTCTGTATATCTGTTTGTCTGCCGGCCACTCCATCTTCTGTCGGTCGCTTTATAAAATTACAGCATTTTTAGGTATTCCACTGCCTCCAACCAGCCCCAATCGGAGGAGAAACGCTATTGGTTGATGCTTTTGCAGCAGCAGATCACCTCAAAGGTGTTTTTTGCCTTCAATGGTCCTTTAATAGATATGCTTTTCCAGCGAATGACCCAGCTGCTTTCCATACTCTAACCACACAATGCATTGACCATCAATATCTGGAGGTATCACCTAGCAGAGGTTATGCAGTTTCTGCATTTTTAGGGTATGGGAAGCAATGATAGTCGACAATTGATTACGAGAGATTTGCCAGTGATAGAACTTGATACAGATGGAAACTATCGACAAATACGGTATGGTGGGAATTATATAGCGTCATTTATTAAATTTGCCGGAATTTTCTTTTCTAGTTTAATATTTATCTGACTGTTAGTTTACCGTTTTATCACTATTTTTTGCAATTTGCCAGCCAGTTTAATTGCTAATGTGTTTTTTTAATAATTCTGACCGTCAGTTTGACCATTTTTTCATTCACATTGTATTTTCTATTTTTCTTTTTAGGTTCAACCCCTATGATCGTGCGCCATTCAAATCCCTATCGGCCAGTGAAGAAGACGCAGAAAAAGTGGTGGAATTTTACAGGGTTAGTCGATTCTATCCATTTCTTTTTCTATGTAGATCTACAGGCGTAATCTACCATATTCCAGGCATACGAAGCATATTCCCTTCTCACCCTCTCTCCCTCTCGCTCTCTCCGTATCTCTCTCCAACCGGGTACCGTCATATTTATCGACAATTTCCGGTTGCTCCATGCTAGGACCGAATTTCAGGTATATTCTGGTGTTTTTTAGAGTATTAAAAAAAGGGATTTTGTCGTTTTTGCAACTAGAAAATTACAAATATGGTAGCAGCGCGTAGCACCGAGTAACAAAACGTGATATCGACATCGTAATTTCATTTTTTGGCTTCCCAAAACAATGGAAAGCCCTTCAAAAATTGGTAAACCGAGGTCTCGAACGAGGCCCAGGTGATTTGTAATATACAAACCGTCCAGAGTGAGGTGATTTCTATGCGCCGACAGTGGGCCAGATGGGTGATGAGTCAGGGGACAGAGAGGATGACATCGAAACAGGCCTAAATTTCATCCATCTATTGGTGCACGCTACCAATTACGCTATGATATTGTAAATCAAAATCTTGTTCTTCCATGGGAAACTGGTGCAAAGAAGCGTAAATTAGCAGGATCTACCCAATTTTTAATCTTCCCCTGCTTTTCGAAATTTCAGCTTACAAGGGAACCTCAAGTTGGCACGGTGGAATTTCGAAAAACGCTCGCGGCTACCCCTAGGTTTTCGACTATGGAGATTCCGACGCTCTAGTCAGAATTTCCTAAATGGGCCTCTGGACAGAGATACAGCACTTCCGTAAAATGATGATTTACATCCGAAAAATTAGCATTAGCGATAGGTTTATGAGGCCCTCCCATCACTATGGAATCACCAGTTGAATGGCCGAGTGGTAAGCGACTCACTTGGTAGGATACTGACGAGGGTTCGAATCCGATCACGATTTTTTATTTTGCTTTTCGACCGCAACTTTCTGCCCAACTCCAACTTTTTATTTTGACTATAGGAAAAATTTTTCTTTATGCTCCCAGGCTGAATTCTCCCAAGAAGGCTCAAAACTCCCTCGAAATTTTTTGCATTTTTTTTTTTCGCTTTCCCAATGAAAGTAAAATAAAAAGTTCTTTTTGAGAAAAAAGTTAACAAACCAAAGTTAACTAGAAGAAAGTTCCGGTCAAAAAGCAAAATAAAAAAATCGTGAGCGGATTCAAACCCTCGTCAGTATCCTACCAAGTGAGTCGCTTACCACTCGGCCATTCAACTGGTGATTCCATAGTGATGGGAGGGCCTCATAAACCTATCGCTAATGCTAATTTTTCGGATGTAAATCATCATTTTACGGAAGTGCTGTATCTCTGTCCAGAGGCCCATTTAGGAAATTCTGACTAGAGCGTCGGAATCTCCATAGTCGAAAACCTAGGGGTAGCCGCGAGCGTTTTTCGAAATTCCACCGTGCCAACTTGAGGTTCCCTTGTTAGAAACTTCGGTCTTCTCGTAAAATTTGGATATAATGATGGCTTTCTATTATATAGTGCTCGTTTCAGGGTGATCGTACGATGTGTGGTTGTTATATGTCTCGAGATGATATTCTGGCAAAAGGACGCCCATTTATTCTACCGGAAGATAGGCGAAGATTGTATTAACGCGCAGAATACGGGATTTAACGCCAATTTTTGCGTTTACCTTGTAAATAAATTGTTTTGCTTTTTCATACGCAACTCTGAATAATTACTCCCTGCCAAATCAGAATCACGCTCAACACCCTCAATCGATGCTTGACACACCTACCCAAGGCCTTTTTATTCAAGGGCTCCTCAACAAAAGATATAAAAAAGATTACTACCAGATTTTACACGGTTATCTTTACGCATAAGCTCCAAGCACCCAGAATCCATGAATCGATAGGCCAATATCTTGTGCAAGATATTTTCGGGGTTTCGTTATCTTGCTGCCTTGGCGGGTTGGCAAGCTGGTTTTGGGCCGCTCAAACGCATTGATTGCATTTCGTAGGTCGATAGAGCCTAGTTGCAAGATTCACCAAAACATTTTCGAGACCCATTTTCCTAACGCCAACTTTTCTGGAAGCTATTATTTTTCATCCACAAACCGAGAAAATTGCTTTGAGCGTGTAGCCCCAGGATACGTGCCAACTCTTCAAAAATAATTTTAGCAAATCAAGCTTTGAGTTTTAACGGATTATTTAAGGAGAATGGGCGCCGGCCGTTCCTTCAGAATGAAGAAGGGACGCGACGAGGCACCTGACATTGCGCATCTGTAAGTCGCTTTTGGTTTTGATAATATTGAAAGCTAACTAGGCCCGCCCCGGAGCCGATACTCGAAAATACCAACCCTATCCCTGACAGACGAATCGTCGTTAGAAAACCGATACTGGATGCCAATCACGATCAATGGTTGCGGTTATTGGGTAGTGGCGGACAAGGGGAAGTATGGCTACTCCTGCAGACTGATCCGTAAATCCTTATCCGTGACAGTGATTCATCCATTTAAGACAAATGGTGATGAAGAAGGCATTAGTCACCCAGGAATATAGCAGTTATTTGAGGGAACTACGCACTCTGAAGGTAACTTTTTCAAAAAATATTACGGAGCCAAATTTTAGGAACTTTCACATGAGAATGTCGTTCGATATTATGACTCGCCAATGAACTATCCGGGCGTCGATCGGGACGAAATTGCCATTTTTATGGAATACTGTAGCCACGGTTCTTTGCGAGATGGTAATATTTATAATTTCGTGGCTACCGTCAATTAGTCCTCAAGGACATCAAATTGATCTATTCAATGGCAACAATTGCTAAATGGTCGACTGAGATGTTCAGCGCCCTTGATTATATCAAAAGCAAGAAGATTGTTCATCATGATGTCAAGCCGGATAAGTAAGGCACGATCATTCCCTTACCAATTCAAAAAAGCTTGTTTGTATATGGCAATGATTATACGATTAAATTGGGTGATTTCGGAATTGTCCGGAACCTGAACACGATTTCGAATGGAAGAGCCGGGACACCAGGATATATGGCACCAGAAGTACTGAGCGATGAAGACCTGAGTGGAGAGGTTGGTAGAGAGTGTTAAAAACAAAATCTGCCATTGAGGATGTCTATAAATGTGATATTTATGGAGCTGGATGGGTGGTGTTGGATATGGTTAATAGAAGGTATTGAGTGGCATACTTTGTTGAGTATTGTTGAGACAACCCGGCAATAAGGATATTGATGGCATTTTGAAGAATAGGCCTCATTTATATACTGTTAAGATGCTGATAAAGGGGTAAGCCAGCTATTATTGTCAATAGCTGTATTCACTTAGGTGCACAACAGATGAGGTCGTAGCACGGTTTTGTACGGAAAAGGCGCTGGAGCTATGCGATGAAATTACACAGGTAGATTATGAGCTTTTAGGTGCCACCTCATGGTGATTTTCGCTTAGCGTGCCACTTCCATTCTAAATAGACATTCCAGGAGTTCGCCCGTTTTCATGCAAAGCCAGATCCGGATCGACATAGCAATAGATTGGAGCGGCCGATTGGTTTCGATGAAAATGAGAGAACGTTTCTTCAGCCCACATCCGCATCTAGCATCAATTCCTTCTGCTACGATATTACAGTTTCGGAAGTGCCACGGCAGCCGGACCAAATCCGAGATCCGAGAGAAAGCCTGCTCCACAAATTCAAAGTGAAATTAGGTCTTACTACGAAATTTGAGGAGAACGACATTCGTGCTTGTCCCTGGCATTGCAAGCGCGTCAATTTACTCGAATCTGGTTGTGACTATGCAAGTGGTGAAATGAATTGTGACCATGAGGAGTGCATGGAGCTCAGACAAGAGTCATGTAGTGAGATTCTCGCGAAATTGTCGCAACTGACGATCGAAGATCAATACAAATGTGCCGAGGAAATGGAGAAATTTTGGAAGGTGGAAGCGCAGACTATGGTCGACAAACTGTTACTCAAATTAATCGATGTCGACGGACTGGAGGCGATTAGTTCAGCAAGAACCTTGGCACAACCAATCGCAGAAATCATTGACATGTTTATGCATCTGATTAAGGAAGATGCGCGGCGGCTAATAGTCGTTCAAGACACAGCTGTCAACGTTCTGATTGAAAGTGATATTGGAAGACTACCTCATTGGGATATCTTGCAATTACTCGAGCATGCCATTGAAGAATTTGAAGAAGTGGAGAAATTGTTTACAGTAAGAATCATCTATCAACTGGTAACCCTCGAGGATTCACGCCATTCATATTTCCATATGTGGTCTCTTGGAAGATTCTTAAGAAAAGACTGTACGGAGGTTCGTTTCTGTGAAGGAAATGCAATCGAATTGAATTTTCATTCGTCCGAAGAGGTGGAGCCATTAAATAATGAGCAATTACGAAGGGCACTGATAGATGCTCGCACTTCTATAAATCGGAAATTACGCATTCAACGTGTTGCCTATGAAAAGGCCCGTTGTGATGACGTCGGTCGCTTTGTAATGAAAGTGTTCAAATGGTCGGAGACGATGGATGAGGATGAAGAATTGAAAAGGCTGACATCAATGACCCACCATCCCTTTCCAGGATATGTTTTCCTCTACGGTCTTCCACCCACGCATAAATGTCCTGAAGGGGAATGTAGTGTTGCTGGTGGATTTCCTAGATGGATTGAGCCTCAATTCCAAATCCCCTTTTACAAATGTTTGGCAAGAAAGCAAATAGATTACATTGAAGACTATACATTCATGGTAATCGCTCTGAAATACGCTGCTCGATGGCAAGACACAAACCCTTTCGTGTCAGGATTGCTTCAACATGTCTTAGCTGAACTTCGAGCAAGGCGAAGAGAGCGAATGTTTTATTTCGCATTGTTCGAGCTAAGCGATGGTTCTAATGCGCTGTTGTTTCAATACAATCCATCTACACGCCACGGAACGTTTGTCACGAAAAATATGGGGCTTGTGTATTCCGAAGATCCGGCCAAATTTCTACGATTCATTCTTGTCCGCCTATCATATCTTTTCCGGATACTGATCGAATTGAAAAATGCTGGTAGTGTTGGCCCTCTCCCCGCTGACATGTGGCCCTTGATCAACGAATTTTGGGAGAAGGTCATGTCAGTTTGAGCACTCAATTCCCAATATTTTTTGTTTTAGGGCGGATGAATCGGCCGAAGAATGCGACGAAGACCAATCAGAATCCTGTCATATAATCTGACCATATTAAAAAACTCAATAAACTATAGGTTCCCTAGCTGGTTAGGTTCGTACATCGGAATTTTCGCTCACTGAACATTCAGGATCCACTAGAATGGGCTGTGTAAATCAAAGGCCGCCCCGTCACAAATCATAGAGTCAGATGTGTCGTGCATGCAAACAATTTGGGTTCTTATTGTTAGCCTCAATAAATGCCAAACTAAATAAATTTATGGTTTTTGGATGACAGAAGAAGTATTGGTATTGTAATAGATAGCTGGTTGATGTCTATAGTCGTTGAGTCTTCTTGTTCTCCTGATTTCTCTTTCATTCATGATTGCTGATATCATTCCAAATAGAGAGAGAAGACATAGATGGATCGGAAGGAGGAGACGGCGAATGGCAGAAGATGTCTGAAATACAAAATATAGCTTGTAGATTGAAAAAAAAACATTCCTAGCCATTTTTAGTTTTTTTTTTGGACGAAAAAATCGACTAATTGTCAGAATCTTTCAGATAAAAGTCGCTGGAAAAACTTTTAGCCTGAATTTCGGCTTTTGAAAGCTTTATCTGTCAGATGAACGTCAAAATTCTTACCCCATAATATCGATCCTCCAAAATATCAACCAAATGCACCAACAGAGCACAAAATAACATCGGGATGTGGGCTATCTGCAATTGAAAACGTTAAAAATTTCGTTTGGCAGCTAAAAAAAAACTTGAGCCAACCTGAAAAACGATGAAAACGATGAGAAGGGGGCGATTTGTGAATAGTATTCCTGTAGCCAATAGGAGACCCGAAATTGCAGAACATAACAATACTAGCCACGAGAGGAAGATCGAAATTCTGAAATGAGGGTGTCATTGGCTAAACTGAATGCCAGAAAGCTCCTTGACGGGCCGATTTGTGTATTTTAATAGAAGTACGCGCGTTAGCGTTAAAACACGGCTAATCATCAGCTATGTGAACCTATTTTCTGGCCTAAAATCTCTATAAGAAAGTTATTTGATTACGGTATGAAATTCCGGACCCTCTGATTCGACCAACCAAGCAATGAAATTCGATTAAGATAAGCTAACCTAAGACTAAAATTAAGCTTTTTGATTACGATATTAAATTCTAGGCGCTCGGCTTCAATCGATTACGCAATGAAACTGTCAAAAAACTATACAATGTGCCACGCGGAAGTCGGACCCTCCCCAAATTGTACGACATTTCGACAGTCAAATGATAGAGAAGAACAGAATATGTGATGAATAGAAGAGAAGAGGTGATTAGACCACAGATACGCTGACAGTGCATTTGTATTAAGTAGATTTTGTATAGAAATGTTGAAATAGAGGTTGGAGGAATCGAGTGGGAAATGGATGGGCGCGGAATGGCTGAAAATAGACTGTTGTTTATATTGGGGATTGAGAGGGGCCGAGTTGGAATTTGATACTTT